TTCCGGTCTCGTCAGTGATCCCCATCAGTTATTTCTCAAAGATTCCGAGCGATAGAGGGCATCATCTATCTTCTCGCAACCGACGCTAGATTGGAGTACTTATGAGTCACGTAACATACAAGCTCGTCAATTCTAGAACGTCAGCACTCCGAGAGAGTTTCCGTGTGGGCTTCGATCGTTCATCGGAGTTTTTGGCGAGCCCGATCAGAGGACGGGAAGGGCGACCGACGGAATAGTGCGATGTCGCCCAAGGCCTTCCTCGGTTGCCTCCCCCGCCGGAGGCGCGAGAGCAACATTTTATAAAGTATGTACATAATGTGAATCACTCCTACAATAATCGCTCCAGATGAGCAGGTCTCGCTATACTCGGAGCTGAAGACGTGCTCTACTTAAGGCGGCGACGTGCTTATCTGAGAGTAATTTGCATTCGATGGTCCCTCTGATCGAATGCAAATTGAGGTGGATGTTTTGACCCTTCTTCTCCACACTTCCCTCCAGGACAGACTTCTCACGCGACGTGTCTCCTGGAGCCACTCCCACTTGTCTAACAGCTGTCTGTTCCCTCCTAAGAAATTCGAGGGCCTGTAGTTAAAAAAAAAAAAATCCTCTACAACATGAACTTCGTCCCTCCTCAGAAACACGTCTTTCCACTATCTCTGAGAGACTGCACCTGTTCATCATCGTCAATTCAGCGGCGGGAATGACCGCATGTCTCGTAGAATGTTCGCAGAGCAACGGGAAGTCGACAGAAAACCCAAACGGCCCTGAGCAATCACTTCGGCCGACGACGTCGCTGGAAAACTGCGCCGTTCCTAAGGCTAATTCCTTGGAAGCATTCCTTCTCGACGTCTGCCCTCACTAATGAAGACGCGCTCATCAAGGAGGATCTGTTCCGTCGACTTTTCGCGTCCAGGTCTTTTGTTTCGAGCGGGTTCCTCTGAGACGACGGATCCAGATCCGAATTAAACGGGCACATCGAAGAGAAGTCGAAGGACGACGAGATGGCCGCCGCCCCTGCGGGACGCCAGATCTCGCGATCGCTCCACGGCGATTAAAGGGATCGGTCGAATAGCGAATGGGACCGGTGACCTCGCGTGGATTCGAGGAATCACGTCGAGGCCCACGGGAAGTTTGCGCGCTCTCAAAGTCTGCACATGTTTCGCTGGTTCTCCTTCCTTTGACCCGACGGCAAGACTGCGCATACGCCGACAGCACGGGGCAGTCTCCCTCTTGGCATAAACCAAGAAAAGGAGGAGGCTGACGCAAGCGGGAGCCAACATGACTCCTGGATTCCAGCAAGAGGATTTTCCTGCCGATCGCTCATTTCGGAACTTCGAGCGAACCAATCAGAGTTCGAGTTTTTTACCTACTCACCTACAAAGCTGATTCAAAACCCTCGCGAGTCTATCGGGATTTGATCTTTTATTACTCGTCGACATGTTCGTCTTTTCGAAATGAATGAGAATTTCGGAAACAAGCCGCCCGGCGAGTTGAGGTTTTTCATGTAACCCTTCACGTTGAGGGTTACTTGCGATCTGATCCCAGCTTCGCGGGGCTTACAAGTCGATATCTGCCTCAAAGCCTCCGGCCCGATAAGGTTCCGAGTGCGCGAGGGTGTCTAGCGATTCTGAGGGGCAAGAGCGAGTTTCCTACTTCCCCTTCTTCCAGATTCCCGATCGATCGACGATTCGTTGAGGCTCATCCGAATTTACTCCTGAAGCGTCGAAAGTTCTCTTGGCGACATTCTGGTTCTCACCATTCTCTTCATGGGTTATTCCGTCTCATAGATGATTTCTCGTATTGTGAAGTATCGAGGTGGTATTACATCGGTTCAGATAATGTTCCCCGATGGAGTCCACCTCGTCGTTTCCCGTGCCGTCCACCGTCTGGCGCGGTATCTCTGAAGAATCGATACGCGACTCCCGCAGGAAAAAGTCTGACGAATTCCCCACTGTTCAAGTCCCATCTGCGCGTGCCATGAGCTCACGAATCAGATTACTTTCCTTCTTCTAGGATTCTAGGGGATGCGTGTGACCGTTGACCAACCTCTCGTCTTGCGTTCGGCAGGCGGAATAATCTTGAGATGAAGCTTGATCGTCGACAATTGGTTCTGTTCGGCACATACACGCATTCACATTCTTCGGCATTTTCATCGAGCAATGCGAGATCCAAACATACCGATGCGTCATGTGGATGGCCCATCTGCATCTACAAGATCGAAGAGGTGAGTTTGTGCCCTCGTTCACAGATGAATCACGAATGTTACGGGAAGAGTTTTCCGATGGTGGTACTAGTGTAAGAACGTCGTTGAGTACTCGCACACACGTTTTCATACCTGTAATTATAATTCATAACAGTCGGGGGAATCGACGTCGATTCTCGTCGGCTCCGCCAGGCATGCCTTCGCCGTGGCGGATCCAGAGTTTTCGACGGGTGAGGTGTGAGGTGGGGATCTATGTAAGCTGACAGGGAAGGGGGCTCCTTTCACCAGTGCAGTAGTATAGGGAGAAGGGACGATTGAGGAGGGGTTACGAATCCCGCGACGTGAAGACCTTCGAGATGTGGACCGAGACTGGGAACCGATCAAAGGGAAATCAGGCGAGAGAAAGCCAGCTAACAAGCCCTTCAGGGTTGCCGGTGGCAGGACTACCTATTCGCATTAAGACAACGAAGGCGGCTCTATCATTATTCCGCCAAGCTCGACGCGAATCGCAAGATCGAGATCGACGGCCTGAGGCATCGCGCCCCCCGTCAAGTCGTTTCCGGAATTCAGGGATTCATTGCGTGAAGCTGATGGCTTCTAACGACGCATTCGTACTCGCCACGCTCATGGAATGCGGCTGGCTCATACTTGCTTGAGAGCACCCTCCGCGATGATCTCGGACCCCCTGAATTTGATGGGAGAAGCGTCCGAATCGCAGGTTTCAACGGCGGAAGTTCCATCGTCGGCACTGAGTAAACCGACGAACGATTTCCGCAGTCGTGGCCTCAGATCTCACCGTGAGTTTCGCGGCACATCATTCTTCTTGCGATTATAGGATGGAATTATTTTGCCGTACCGATCCACTTTCTACATCGTGGAGGCCCGATCTCTGATCACCGGATCGCCCTCTAGATCAGGATTCTTATAAGGGCTTATTCGACGGAAAATAGGGAATTTTCTTTATCTGGCCGAGCCACCGACGAGTACGTTTGGAATGACGTCGCACAGGTCCGAGCACAGCCGAGGACTTCGGAGGGGGCCTCGCGCTGGAGAAGGATCAAGAATCGCTGCTCTAGACAATCATTTTTCAGGCCATCACCGGCGGAATAGCCGTGATGACCTTCTCTGGGCGTTTGGAAAAAAGAATACGAGAAACAGGAGTCTCCGCAAGGAACTGAGGAATGCCTGCTGCATATTATTAGGCAGCACACTCATTCTGTGCTCACTCGTTTACATATTGATGAAACAAACACAGGAAGAGAATCGGAGTTTTACCAATGATACTTTAGGTCAGGAATTGCGCCGCAGGACCGATCTGCGACCGCCCCTGCACTGATCGAATGAACACTTCACGCGATCGGGGACCTTGGCACGCTACCACAATCGGTCTTTCAGAGAAGAAGGAGGAAGGAAAGACCGTAGCTTTCTGAAGGAGTGCGAATCGTGCTATTGAGAGAGGCGTGCCGGAAGCTAGCTAGCATTTGCTGAAGTTGGCGAAGCTAGCACATTTGGGACACACACACACACATCTCCATCTTCCCCCCTCGGAAATGACGAATCCTCCGTTGACGTTCTCTTGATGAGCAGGCTCGAATTGCAGTCGAAGACACTGTGGCCAATGGGGGATATAGACGTTTGTTCTCATCATCATTCACATCATCTTCATCATCATCTGATCCTATTGAAACACGACTTGATGCAATGAAAACGAGGTTGGAAACGTTCCCTGATGACGTCTATCCCCACCTGTGCCGGGTACGAGCCCCTGATTCAACGCTTCTGGAATTGATTCCTAGAGAGCTCTACTCATGTGGATATGACATTGACGTTGGGAGAGCTGCAAGTGAGCAGATGGGTCAGACATATCGTGCCTCAGAAGATCTGGTTCTTTTGGAGGCGGGAGACATCCTTGGCAGTGCATTCGGTGATCACTCGCAATGCGCCCCGGAACATAGGATTCGAGAATTATCATGTGGAAGACGAGGAAACCATCCGCGATAGCGAGGCACATATTTTCATTCCAACTTTCATTCAAGCGATCAGTCATTCGCGTGTCTCGTCAGTCGACAAATTTCACTTCTATTTCACGATTCCACATTGAAGCGTGATCAATTATTATCAGTCATCACAAATCTGTAACTTCCACGCAGGACCTTCCCCGAGGGTCCAGCTTGAAAATAAATCAATCCGAATCCTCGCTCACATCCAACATCGTTCTGAACCACCCCTCCTCCACAATTCTGCACCAGGTCTCTCTCCCTCACGTCGGAATCCTGATTCGGCTTCAAGCTCAAAGAGAACAGTCGATCAATATATGTATGTTCGTCATTGATGTAGAGGGGGGTAAATTGAATTCGCTTGTTGGAAAATACGGCACCGCACCGTAGCGTAAGACGAAAAGACTCCGCTAAGTGAGAGGGACAACAGCTGGCGTGCGTGGGTACCTACCTACCTGTAGTCCGGGATGCTTAATGAGAATCTAAGATTCTTCAAAAAATGAGAGCTCGTGGGCCGGTATCGCCACGACGAGAGAGAGGACTCGGAAAAGAAATGTATCGAACATGCGAAGCCAAGAAGGTCCTCGCTCCCTTAAACCGCTACAACCAAGGCGTCAAGTCCAATTATGTGCGCGAAAATTCGCGAAAATTACGTGCCCCATGGGCACAGTTGATCAGTTTGGAAAGAGAGTAATGAGAACGACGTGGATGAAAATCTCGTTATTTATATCACACTCATCCGTACGATAAACGCCGACTCAGTCCTTCAACGGGTTTTTCGACTTCTTCCATAATCGAATCTATCCACAGCTGCCGTCCTCTGGGCCGTGTAACCATCTTTCCAGAACCTTTGTACAATCAAATTCCTTCTTTCCTAACTTCCGATTGACAATATTGTGCTGTTCACACATCCACTGGGAGAGAGCTTCTCGCGAAGACACCTGGAAGATAATCAATTCGCTTTAGAGGACTGAATCCAGAGCACAGGTAAGAGCAATGATCGGCTCCAATCTTGCGCGACCGCATATCGGGTCAACGAGAGTTCTCGACTTGTTATGAATTCGTTACCTTCGGTGGAGATTGCTCCATCTCTGTCCTGAAATCCGCAGCGCAATGGTCGCATGGATAGAATTTGCCAAGCAAGTCCAGAAACGTCTTCATTCCTGCTTGCTGCTCGAGACTGGGTTTCTTCGGGAAATACGCCGCTACGGTATGCAAGAAGGACCATGTGTGCTGACCGAGCTGGTCTCGATCTAGAGGACAATCTTTGGGCACAGCAGTGGCCTTCCCCGATTTGGACTTCAATAATGATTTGAAGTTAGTGCATGCTCGGCACGGGGCATCTCCATCGTGCGGGGGAGTCCGGGACCGAGGCGAGTGCCGCGTCCGTGATTCGTAGTCCCCATATTCCATCACCTGTCGGTTAGACGAGCGAATTCATCCGATGGGAAGATGACTACTGGATTGACATCTTGAGGTCGATACTGGAGTTTCTCGAGGGACAGAAATAGAGCTATTCGCCGGAATTCTGAGAGAGATTCCAGTATCGCATCTCAAGGATTCTGATGCCTGGTCTCTCTTAGATGGGTTGAAATTGTGCCAGTGAGTCAAGAGAATCGCGCCATTGGGAAGAATCGTTAGGCTGGAGAATGGAATCTACTAATTGCTCCATCAATTGAGTATCCATCTGGACTCAGTGATCCCGACGCGCGGGCCAGCGTCATCGTCTGGAGTTCATCTATCGACAAGTTGATGCGCGATCTCGTCGAAGGCTCTCGAAGTGGGCTCACCGGTCAAGGGCTACGCAACTCTTATCGTGTCTGGTGTTACGATTTCCGAATGACGCTCACTGCAAGTAAGTCCTTAGCAGCACAATTGTAAGTACAGTCTGAACGAGTGCTTTGAACGAATCGATACCGTCAGGACATATCACCGGTCGGTTTTTGTAGTGCGTTCGAAACAATCATATGAGATCTATCCTAGACCCGACTTTGAAACGGCCTCTGTATCCAGCAAGCAGCGCTGCGAGATTCAGCGAGCGCCTTGGAGAAAGGGCAAATCCTCCTCCATCCAACTCGCATGTTCTCTCAGAAGTGTGCTCTGACTCCGTGGTTGTAGCAATGACTCGAATCGTGCCAAGTTAGAACTCTCGTAGCGGGCGTTTCGTGAGGATCAGAACGCTGTTCTCGTCAAGGCGATGGAGGCAGGTTTTTGCATCGAGGGAGCTGAGTTCCGCGGTGAAGGCAACTCGAGCCTGGTTTGCGCTCTGAAGGTTCGTATCATCCGTACAGGTGTTTTGACCTCGTGAGCACACTCGTGAAAAACTCTCGACCGAGCTCTCTCTATCTCCGGAGTCGGAACCAAATCGAATAACCCCTCTGAGCAGAGGTCACTAGAAACTTCCACTCGAGCCGCACCACGCGCAGCGCGATGAGCATTCTTATCGGAGTCTCTCAGCTGGGCCAGCGTTCGAAAAACTCGATTCGGAAGCGAACAGGAGAATTCTGCCGTCCATCGTTTCTCCCCTCCTTGTGGTGTAGGGTCTCATAGGCGGCAGGGCTCTCGATACTCTCGCCTTTTCCCCGTATATTTAATTTTCGGTCCAGAGCTTAGATCTACGATATGGTATGAATTTTTTTTTACATTCATCGCCGATTTTCATTCGAATCACCTGCCATGTTTGAGAACTTCCCGACGGTGCGGACAGTATAGCTAGAGCTCGAAGCTCGTACACGGAGTATTTAGAGGGAATTTCTCGAGTGCCGATCACTATCGGAAAGGTCGCGCTATGGTGCGGGCTGATCCCCCGAACCGACACGGGACCTTCGAGTTTCAACGCAGAGTTGCCTTCATAGCCTCTGCCGTGGAAATGCTCTTGTTGTCAAAGGCGTCTAATTACAATCAACGAGATGTTTTCCTACTCATTATGATGGCAAGGAAACGGCCGTTTCACTGCAATTATAAGCCAACCGTGTCAAGTGTCATTGCACAGTGTGCCGCTTTTTCTTGTTGATGAGTTACAATTGCCAATTAGAACGCTCTGTTTCCTGATTACAGGACGGCGCCAGCGTCCTCAAGCTGAAGAAGACATCTGTGGTGTTCAATGAGGTGAGTTCTTGCACGCGCGCAGCGGACAGACTCTCGTCGACGATTCTATCGATCGGCTCTATTCTAGATTTCTTTGGCCCCGGCTCATTAAAGTATTCCCTCCATTGTTCTGTCGGAGCTGGGCATCCTGATATGTGGAGTGTTGGGGTGATTTCTCGGTGGGGTCGGAACATGATCGCCGAAAATGGTTTGTCCTTCCAGAACGTTCCGGTAATCGAAGAAGATTGGCTCGGGCTGCACAAATATCAAGTCTCATTCATAAGAAACGTCGCCGTGCCTTTGTTCGGAGCATCGCTAGTCGACATACCCGTGAGTGCATCGGAGTTTTAAGATCGTTTGACTTTTGCTTCGCGTGCGAACATTTAGATATCGCTCCTCCGGATTTCCTTGAATGGTATCGGCCGTCTTCCAACTATGATAAATACAGCACGGCCGCCAGCGTTCGGTGGTTCGACGATGTGATATGTTGAACGGATCGCGGGAATCCTCAGAAACGTCCGATCTAAATTGACAGCCGTATGCCGGAATCGGGGTATAAACTAGTCAGTTTTCGTTTTCGATCGGCTCCGAATGGGTCGATCATAGACTCGATCTCTACCGTGTTTCTCAATGACGTTTTTCAGACCATCGTTCAGCTCCGAGGCGAGGACATCGCTAAACTCAACAACCTCGTTCGTCAGGACCGCGCCATTCATCGTCTGAAGAAAACACTAAGTCCATCCTTGAACTGCGGACTCGTATTCCCAGACAATTGTTTATTCAAATCCTTACCGCAAAACAGTAAGTTCGACCACATAGAAATTCTTGGCCTTGAATGCTCACGACGTGGAATCCGCACCGGAAGCCCGGCGAGTAGACGGGAGCGAGCGTGATCGACCTGGTGCGGTTCCTTACGTCAGTCTTGTGACTCGAGCGTAAAAAACCGGAAGAACACTCACACGAACGGCGTAATGTTACGTCACTGCCTCAGTATCCGCGGGAGGCCCTCGAGGAAGCGTGACAATGAGACCTTTCGGCACGGGAACAATGATAATTTTCGTTTTCATACTAAAACTCTTCACTGAGACGGCGATTTTCTTCCCAGATATCCCTCTCGAGGGTCCTCTCGTATGCGTTGAGCTCAAAACGAAAATGGGTTTCTTGCCGGTCGGGATACCGCCCGATCTGCAGCTGAAATCGCGTATCTGTCGCTTCCATCTCGTACAAAACCGCAAATTCCGACAAGGCCGGGTACAGCAAATAAGCAATTACTGCCCTCTGGATCTGTTCAGCGGATGTCCTGAACGGATGGAGTGCGCCATCCTAGAACTACTGCACAATCCGCAGAACAATCTGCGAGTCTTCTGTGATCGTCGTCAAATTTTCGGGGGGGAACGGAATCGTTCTCAACTGGATCTTCGCGAGTTCTTCAAGCTCGCTCGCGACCGAGGTGCGAGAGATCTATGCAATCTGATAAAGATGGCTCTTTGTCTTCCGCTCAAAGAGGATCGTTGCAAGGAAGCCACTCTCGGTGCAGCCAGGGTGGAGTTGCGCGACTGTTTGTTTTCAACGAAGTGTTGCTGCGATACGGGTTCGAGCGGTACGTGTCCCTCGGAGCTGATTCCTGTCGTAAAATCTGACGGAAAAATCCCTTCCCTCCTAATAACAAGACTTCATTCACAGAGTCCAGACACCGTATTCCGGAACGCTCCGTGCTGTGGAGAATACTGCAGTGTCAACAACTGAGCTCAGAAGACGTTTCAAAAATTTATCGTTCGACTTACGCCCATCATGAGCCGGACCGATTCTTCAATAAAATGTACCCAGAGGCCGTGATCCCGAAAAACATCCTGAGTGAGACCAAGATTCAGTGTGAATCTCAAGAAGAATTCGAGCACCGTGTGCTTTGGAAATTCCTCGTAGCTCTCACATGCCGGGACTGTTCCGTCATGCTGACCATGCAACGAATCTCAAAGAGCTGGAGTGGCAAGCCGAGGTATTTCGCTAGTCTATACTTCCGGGAGACTTCCTATTTACACATTCTGCATTTGGTCGTGGAATGTCATCTGTAAGTCATTGTTATCAAAAACATTTCGGATTCCAGCGACCCGAAACTCAATGTTCTGGAATATGGCGGTCAGCGATATCTCCTCTCCATCGGTGTGGTCGATCTAGAACCGAAGAAACTTGATCGAGTCGCGAAGCAGTTTCAGGATGACCTCAGCATGATAAACAATTTCTCCATGGAGTTCTAGATGAATCCGTACCTGGTATCGGTTATCCCCATTAGATAAATCGAATTCCTACAATAATTCACTCTATTTACACTCAGGCAAAGTCTACAAAGATACTTAGATAGCTCTGGTATCCTCTACACCTGTAATCGTTAATGTTTCTTCGGAAGTTATAAGCGACTATGTGATCAAACCCTCGAACAGCATGAGAATGCCTACTCGACCTAAGCGGAATCCCGCAGCTAAGAGGCCGGGGATCGGAGCACATCTATTAGTCTCCCAAGTTCCCGAAATCGTGCGCTTACAAGACCGAAATAGGATCTCTTCCAGTCGATTGTCCAGAAACCTCGTTTGCGGGAAGGTCGAAAGACTATGAAGAGGTCTGCAGAATCTCCTAAAAATATCGGAGAGCTAGATTCTGCATCAATGGACAGTTTCTGCGGTGGTACCAATTTTTAGAGTTTTTGAACCCGAACTTGACGAACCATGTAGAGAAACTGATCATGATGATCGTTCCGAGAACTTCGAGAGAGACATGATACGGATAAATTGGCCCCGGGCTCCGAGCATTGACAAAACTCTGACGTAGTTATCTCGAAAGTATATTTTCCCATGGAAGTTCTAAAGCATGAGAACAAATCGTGTTTAGGTGAAGAAAGCCGCCGACCGACAGCACCAACGTGTCTCAGGCCCTCGCTTCGGCCTGAGCTCATGTCGATGACGACGGTCCGGATTCGAGTGACAGAGAAGGGGAGTCGTAGGTCCTCGTGATGTTGATTGTGGCGTACAAATCTGGTAGTTTTTTCCTCCCTCAGATGCTTGGGAAAACGGGTCGATCTGGCTTTGTTCAGACCCAGATGTTCCTCCGGAGAAAATGTATGCAGGTCTCACCTAGCCCTCAATCAATTACTGGAGACATCGGATGATCTTGATGTGTGACGCGGAGGCGGATTGAAATAAACTCAGGGAACGTTCGTCTCGAGGACTGGATGTTGTCTGTACTGAAATCTTGCGGAGAAACCGATCCGAGAGAGCATGAAAGACATCGAGAGATTTCCGGAGAACGCTCTGCTTTATTTACAGTTATCATTATAATAATCAACAGATCGAATAGCTACTTCGAATGCTGCCGACGTCTGCCTGGCTTCAGATCGGACTTAACGTTCTTAACCAAGGCGCTCTCATCGATGGGTTTGATTATTTTGCCCATCTTCGTCACGATCTTCTTCTTTGTGAGCTCGCTGAAGGCGCGAGGCGTGTTGTATGCGCTCCCCACGGGTTGTTTCAGTACGGTCTGCGAAATCCAATGCAGCGTCTGAGCATCCCTCTTGCTGCTGAATGATTATATGGACAAACATGAATGCTCTCACACAAACCTCGAATTGTGAGACGCTCGTGAAGCCTTTCGGTACGTCAACGACTTTCAGGTCACGAATGGCCTTCGAATTTGCGTCGTCGTGCACAATCGCTGCCTGCGGCTTGAAAGCTTTCCTGTGTTTCAGGAAATGGGATCTCCGGTTGTCCAACCGATGAATGTTGCCCGGCGTGACCCAGTCTCCGTCGAGGCCTTTCTTCTTCAGAGCCGCTTCTCTATCTGCTGCACGTTCTTCGGCGTTCTTTTCCTGCAAAATCAAAGAAAACGATTATTCACTTAGCCTCGAAAATGGCGGATGATCATCGGATCTCTCCCAACTACTCGGAGTTTTGCGGGCGGGGATGGGGGGGGGCTACATCACCTTCTGCTCCTTGATGAAGTCCTGGACGACATCGTCACCAGCAAAGGCCTCCTGGATGAGCCGCCTCTGTTTGTCGACGTCCATTTCCTCGGCGTCGTCTCCATCCTCATCGTCGTCCTCACCGCCCACGGTGGTTCTGAACTGCGATTTCAACTTCCGCACTTTACCAACAGTCAGAACTTTCTCCGGATCGATGCAAACCGCGCTCTTCGGTGTTTCGATATCCAATTTCCTCTTCAGTGCCTTCTGCTCGGACTTCGCCTCGTCGATACGACCCTCGATCACATCCAGATCGACCTTGGCGTATGGATCGAGTATCGCGGTGCTTTCCTGAATTATATCTTCCTCTTCTTCGTCCGATGAGTCTGATGATTCGTCTCCCCCAGATACGATCTCTGGCTTCTCCTCGGGCTTTCGGCTCTCCTTCTTCGAGACTTTTTCGGCTTCAGATTGCCGCTTCAACTTTTCCGATGATTTTCGCTTCAAATGCTCCTGCGAACAGAAAGGTGAGTGGAGAAGATCTCAAATCGAGTTCCCTTGAACGCGAGTGAATGCGATCGTTATCAACTCACAGGGACTCTCAAAATTGTCGCCGGGGGATCTTCGCTCTCGGTCGTTGCGACTTCCTTCGTCTCATTGAGCCTCTGCGGAACTTCCACTCGAGCTTTCACTTCTTCGAAGAAGGTCCTCCTGAGCCACGGGTTCTCTTGATGATCTTGTTCCTCCTCCTCATGGAGAGACTTTTCCAGAACATCTCGCTCTTCCTCGGAGCTCCCGTGACCTCCGACCTCGCCTATCCCATCACCGATTCCGTCTTGAGCTTCGTCGTCATCGTCCGGCTCCCGATCGTCCATTTTCACCTTCGCTTCAAGCTCTCGGCCCAGCTCGATCCGTTCTCTACGAGTAAAAATCGAGTCAATGGCTAGCCCGAAGATATTCTCACGCGTTCGGACTCCCCTCACCCAATGGCGCTCCCGATGAAGCGTCGCCACTCACCTCAGAGATTCTTGGGCTTCTTTATCGAATTTTCCCTTCTTGGCAACCTGAATCGCCCATCGATTCTTCGTTTTATGCCTCAGAGAGACTCGTTCTTCCCTCCGGATCCTTTCTAACTCTTCGAGTTTCTCTAGAGCCATCTGAGGGTTGGTGACTTTGAGCTGTTCGAAGTCCCGGATGGCTTGTTTCATTTTGTCTCGTCGCTGTGCGCGATGGAATTTCCGACTTTTGATTTTCCGCATCCGCCGATTTTTAAGCGCTTCTGAATGCATCAACGAGCGGAGTTTTCGTAGTTCACTGGAAGATCCAAAATTCGTCAATGGGACGAGCCCCACGTATAGCCTCTACCCACGGATCGAGCGGAAGACTCGGGATTCCGACAAAAAGCCTGCTTCAAATTGTCCCTACCTGAGTCGTATGACAGCTTCCTCTTTCGTCATGGCCGTCAATTTCTCTTCTTCGAATTGTGTGAGGGCGGCGTCTGAGTCAAGTCGATGCTTGCTGGTAGACAATAGAGCTTCCACTTGCTCTTCCAGTTTCGTTGATGGCTTGAACTTCTTTGCGAATTCGGCGCCGTTCTCTACCCTGAAACAATAGAAAACTGAATGTGTGTATCCCAAATCTATGGCTCCAGCTCTATCATCAACGACCCAGAACACCGAATCAGATATGAGTCCTGGGTCGTTATTTGGGTTCTGCCTGCTTGAGAGATCTACGTTCGAAGAGAGGAAATTGATTAACCTTATTTTCTCATCGTTCAAGGGGAATCGTATCTGGTCGGCACTCTCGTGATGCTCAACGATCGAGTCCCACTTCTTGAGCTCATCCGACGTCTTGGCGTAAGATATCGCCCTCTGGAGACGCTCGCGAGAGACTTTCGGTAGCGGTACTGGTAGGGCGGCTGCTTTTTGTTTCAACTTGAGGACTTTGTTCCGTTTCTTGCGTAGGTCCTCGGTGTTATTGAGATCCTAGAGTAGCAAAAGGCGATCGTTAGCGATTCACTTTCAATCATCGAGACTCAATGGAGGCTCGCGATGGTATCAAGCCCCTCCGTCTGACTGCGTTGGGGAATGACTCAGGGACTCTCTGGGTCAGACCCCTCGAGGAAATATTTATATCACCTTGAGCATGTCATACGCCGTGAGACCCCCATCTCTGGTGAAACCAAACTCCGACACGCTGTACGAAGGCTCAGCCCTCTGTCGAACTTCCCGGCTCCCGTAGAGAGCTTTGACTTTGTCGATCAGCTTGTCATGGCTGAAAAGAGAAGATCGTCGCTCACAAGAGAATTCCTCTTTACGAACGGGAGTCTGCGAGGAAGCGGAGTAGGACTGTCATACCTTCCGCCTGCGATTTCTTCATGGTCGCTCCCACTGTCGGCGTCCTCGAGGAGGTCCTCTATATCCAGATGATTCATGGCCAAGGCTCGCCACCCAGGCAATCGGAATACAATTGAAAATTCGGGAACGACTTCGATTGTCCGCGAGATGATTCGAACGCTCCTACACAGATGGGCTGAGCGGGGCTCTTGGCGCAGGGATGTTGTCTACTGGCAAACGCACGTGTGACTTCCGTCGATTAATGGAGCGAGACCGGGGCGGCAAAGCTGAAACTTCCGGACTCTCCAAAATGACCGAAGAGAGCGGACGTTCATTTGAATCTGTCAGCGGGTTGTTATTGTAGGGAGCCGCGCGACAGAAAAAGGCATCCTCAAGCATGAGAACACTCTGACGATAACGCTGCCGTGGAAATTCAGACATGAATCAGTTTGCGATGGCTTCGGACAGAGAGAACGGGAAACCATCCGCTCAGAAGAACGTTTTGAGTTCTTACGGAGACATCGGAGATTTGCAACGACTCACCTCGGAGTTCGCCGTGATCACCAGACTCTGCCAAGGTCTCTGTCCTGAATCTCTAAAAGTAGCGTAGGATCGTATCACTCGCGGGGAACTCTGCGGGAACACTCAATAGGAATGATGAAGATATCATCACACTGTTCCCGCTCGCTGCTTCTCAATCGGGTCGCCGTAGTGAGACTTTGAGGCTTCATAATGTTTTCAGCTCCGATGCCTCATTCCAGGTGTATCGAGGGAGCCGCCCGATGAGAACACAGCCGCTGAGTTGAAGAATGAGCTCCTCGCGGCTGAAGCAGCCCTGCAGAGTTTGAGCCACGTCACGGCCGAGGCGAGCAGCCTGAAGGCCGAGCTCAAGGAAATGATGAACTACGTCAAGGAAGTTATCCCCCAGAACGTGAGTGCAGTGCGGGATTCCTCCCTTGATATAATATTTTTCCTTCCGTTATTCCGCCCGGGGCAAATCTCCGCGATCGATGCTGGCTCCTAGGCAGTTTTGATCGAAGAGATGTTTTCTTGCCGCCCGCTTGCCTTTTCCAGAGACCCGTCCTCAACGATCGGATATTTTATTCTCTCTGTAGAAGCTAGAGCCTCTTGACAATTCTTTCACAGATCGAAACCTATTTGCTTAATGTAGCCGCCACTCTGGACACGATGTCTCGTATTGAAAACGCTGACAGCGCACGGGCCCTGCCGAGGGAAGTGACCCATGGACAACCGACCGAGCGTGGGAACAACGCGTCAGCCGGAGGTTTGGGTATCCAATCGAGAAACATCGAGGAGGAGCAGAGCGAAGAAACCCGAAGCTTGAAAGCATGTTCTAACAAAGAGACGGAACTCACACCTGTGACCCTCCAGGAGTTCCGGAGCGTACCGGCGTGAGTCTTTTGGGCAATCGATCCGAAGTACTGACAAGTAAACATTCTTTTTTTAAAATGACAATCACCTGGTTTGACATGCTTTTCTGAAAGTTTCCGAGCCCCGGAGCAACCCCGAGTCATTTTTCTCTGCTGTCCTGCATTTCCTACCCCTTCTCTGCAGGCTCCGAAATCCGGAAAAAACACTATTTTCATCGAAATCCGGGATATTTTGCTCGGATATCAGTGGGAATGGGTCTTTCCGGGCTTCGGAACCTGGGAAAAAAACATTTCCATCAAAATCCGAGAAAAATATCCCGGATTTCGATGTAAAAGGTGTTTTTTCCGGGTTTCGGAGCCTGCAGAGAAGGGGTATGAAATGCAGGACAGCAGGGGAAAACGACTCGGGGTTGCTCCGGGGCTCGGGAACTTTCAGAAAAGCATGTCAAACCAGGCGATTGTCATTTTCAAAAAAGAATGTTTACTGTGAGAAATCATGTCGATTTGAGGTACACAGAATTAATAATTCTTCTTCCAGTCATATCCGAGGACGTCTGACGATGGATAAGATCAATGAGACCCTGCACATGCTTCGGGACGTGATGCAGCTCAAATATCGTCTGCTGAAGAAACGAAAGGGTTTGACGCTGCTCGAGAAAGATGCTCTTCTTAGAATGAAATCGGAAATCGTACCGGCGGTGAAGGAGTGCCGCTTCGTCTCTGAAGCAGACGTCGTTTTCTTCAAAAAGAAGAAGTTAGCGAAGTCGAATATGGATCACTTGATCGTACTCCGACATCTGCAGAAAATACGTGAAAATCGAGATATGAATGTTTTGCGAATCGTTTTTAAATGATGGCCCTTGTGGATCAAGGAGCAGTATCCGAAAGCCGCTTGGGGCCACGGTTCGAGTGAGGAGAACCGTAGTGTGAGGCTTCGCTGTGTTCCGTGATTCTGTAATCCGCTATGGTTTCGCGCCTTACCGGCGGAGCTTCAAGGTTGGCAATCGAGATCCTCTCTCCTGAGAGGTCCGGTAGGAAACATGAGCACACATAGGTCAGAAGAGGAGAATGTCTTCATCGGATCTTTGAAGGTGACAATCCTGGAATAGGTGTTCATTCAGACGCTTTCCTCAGGGACGAATCAGACATTAGTGAGCCTCGGACTTCGGAAAGAAGATCTACGTTGGGTATGTCAAATGCAGGATCCTGAGTATTGTGGGAGTTGACTGACTGGAAGTGACAAAAGCTATTTTGGAATTCGTGAGGAGTGAAGGACATTGACCACGTTGTTAATATTCCTGGTTTAGATTTTTTTCTATATAAAAGAGACTCTCCTGAAGCGGAATCGGGATGCCGCGCATGATTCTTCAGGAATTTTTTTCTGCTCTTCGAGCCCGTTCGATATTTGTGAAGCACTCGAATCCGTCGCAGTGATTGCGTCAGAGAGTTCCCAGATAGGGATTGAGGGCAGGATCTTCAGAGATTCTATAAGCTGAATAAAGTCGCGAGCCGTCTTATTCATGGGAAGGATACTTTCGAGACGGTCTTTCCTCAATCTAGGGATCCCCGGACCGACGATGAGGACAAACTGACTCGCCGCTCCTCGAATTGCCAGCGAGATTACCGCGGGATCCTCGAGGGGTCAGTCGACGAGTCCTGAAATTCCGATTCGCTGTCTTTCTCGTATGGAGACCTGGCATTTCTCGTGGGTTGAAGAGCAAGAGTGATATATAACTTCCAATTTCTATGGGAAGTCCATGCATCCGAGTGGAGCCTTTTGTCGGAACTCGCCTCGCACCGCTAGCTCCAGAATTGTCCTTCACGCTGCCCAAGCGTCTCGCTCCACGATGGCGTGAGATCGAACCCACTCGATGCTCTCGCAGCTTAGGTCGTTTAGGTGACCTCATCCGGAGACAAAGGGCAAGATTGGGAAAAAAGTCTGCTCCGGTCTCTTCGCTCACCCCGTGAACAGTTATGTAGTTTTGAGTTCGACAGAAGGCTGTTCGAAGACTGAAACTGATTGGCCGCCTCAATGTCTGAGCGTGCACGCGTCTCGATAAGCAAGGCTGACGCGGATCGGCACGTGACGTGTTCGAGGCGCTAAGCGGAATCCTCATTGAGTGGGGAAATCTCCCAGTGTCGCGATCCCTCAAGATACGTTTCCCAACATATTTCTCGAGTGTTTCGGAATCAAACAGCTCTCGTTCCACAGACGATTCCCTTGGTAGAGAATCATAAGAGAAGGTGAGTCGAGCTTGGTCGTTGCGAGACTCGCCAAGCCAGATGAGACCGGCCAGAGGGACTCGTCCCCAAAGAAAGTCAGCCGCGAGGAAATTATATCGGTCGAGTAACCCCGAATTATGAGCTGACGGATCCGTACTCGAGACGTTAGGAGTGTCTGAGCTCAAGCTCGTGATTTCCCATTATTCGTATCAGCTCTTCATTGAACAGGGATATCGAGAGAGCGAAGGAATGATAGGAATGATGAAACGGGGACAATCCAAGGATCTCAGAAAGCGTTCCCCTGTCCTTCCAGTACGAGCAAGCATGAGCGAGAGCCCACCTTCACCGAAAGCGGATGTAGAGCCCCAGCAAGTGAAGGAGGAAGGTTTGTCCTAGCAAATTACCCAATATCGAGCGCAACATAGGCGAACTGCACTTCCGTGTAGGAGCTCCGCGATGCTTTCGACGAGACCGAGCTCGCGAATTCGGCTCGAGGGCTCCGATAAATGCTTTCGGGATTCCCGAAACGTCGACGTTTTCCAGCGGGACTCGGGAAGAGAAAACTCGAGCCGGATGATGAGAACGAGGAGAATCACCCGGCTGAGAATGTCGGAACCCCAAAAAAAAGAAACGTGGACGACTTCGGAAGACTCCCGCGGATACCTCGAGCGATGCGCAGGAACGAGATCGGGCGACAAACCTCCGACAATCCACGCGAAGCTCTCTGAAACGAGCTCATTCGAGTCTGACGATGCTCCAAGTTCCCAGCGTGCGAGGGGCAACGACCGCCCTAGTTGCAGGTGGTAATGAGGTCGGTCAGCTTGGCATGGAGCGCGCGTCGGCTTGCCGTTTCGTGCCGATTACTGATCTGCAAGAGAAGGTGCGTCGATCGGACAGTTTCCCTATTTCGCGCCTTGGGTCGATACTCATTCGGGAATGTTCCCACCGAGCGAACCAGAGTTCGCTCCCGGCCCAAAACGTCGATCTTATTCCAGATCGTGTCCTGTGCCGCTGGTGGAATGCATTCGTTGCTTCTCAGCGAACACGGGAAGATTCTGTCCTTCGGTTGCAACGACGACGGATCTCTCGGGAGGCTGACGGAGGAAGAGGAGGAGTGCTTCAAAGCCGCCGTGGTCCACATTGAAGGCGAGACGGTGGGTGGGGATTCCAGACCCGAAATTACTTTTGGCTCGCCATATTGAATTCCCTACCATGCACGAATATGTTCGGGATGAGGGCTCTTTTTCCCAGGTTTCGAAAATTGCGGCTGGTAACATTCATTCCGTAGCTTTGACCACCGACTGTCACGTTTTCATTTGGGGGAGCTACCGGGATAATTCCGGAGCTTTCGGCATCTCTCCGAAGAATCCAGAATTCATTTCGGAACCCATGAAATTATCCTTGCCCGATTCCATCACTGATATCGCATGCGGTGCGGACCATACTTTAATGCTGAGCCAGGAGGTGAGTGCGAAGTCCCTATCCACGCGTACGGGCACAGCCTCCACCTACACAGTTTTGCGACCGAGCACTAACGAATTTCAATTCCTCCTAGGGCGTCATCTACACCATGGGGATCGCAGAACAAGGGAGACTCGGGCGGATAAGAAAATCCCATTGTTGCCGAGAGAATCGCCGTGCGCGTCAGGTAATGATTTGAGAAGACCAAACTACGGATCCCTCCACACTCACGCGGTCGCCGTGAGACGGAGAAAAACGGGATGAACAACGAGGGATTTCGCTTGTCCACGCAAGAGATTCCATGCTCCACTCCTTCCCCGCTCCCATTTGTGATAGTTGGCAGTAGATTATTGAAAATCCAATTTCAGACGATGCTGACACCGCTTCCCATGAGGGTTCGACGCTATCGGAAGCCCGTGTTGTTCGACGGTATCTGGGCCGGTCGCTTCAGCGGTTTCGCGCGAAGCGTCTCCGACGGCCGCATATGGGGTTGGGGCCTGAATAACTATCATCAGCTGGGCGAAATCAACCCAGATGACCACGAGGACAATTTCGTTTATCAGCCGGTTGAGCTAGCCGCTTTCGATCCCAAGAAAAGATGGACTCAAATATGCGGAGGTGAACAGCACACGTTGGCGCTGGACAGCGAAGGAACCGTATACTCCATGGGGAGACCTCTCTACGGCAGACTTGGACTCGGACCGGCCGATGCGAACGATCCCGATGTCACGAAACTAACGCCTGTGCCCGGCCTGGAGGAATGCGTTGTCAGCATAGCGGCTGGAGATAATTGCAGTTTCGCAATCCACAAAAGTGGTCAGCTCTTGTCTTGGGGTCAAGGAACCAACATGCTCGGTCAGGGCGATCGCGAGATTGCGAAAGACATCGATCTATACGTTCCGACTCAATGCGCTTCGAAGCACCTCAAAGACAAAACGACAATTGAAATCGCAGCCGGATCGCACCACGCCATATGCATCGCCAGTGGTTGAAGTCGAAATAGCTGTCATGATACAAATCGGACGACATGCTTAGGTACACATCATATTTGAGAAATTACTTGTCGATGGCATTCATAGCGACGCCCCGCAGGGCTCGCCCGCGCAGACTCATTGTTCAGTCCTCCTTCTTTGTTTTTAGCGTTTTTTCCCAAGTGCTTGGCCCGTTCCAACACCGATAGGCTCTGGTTGGTTTTTCGGAAGGAAGATTCATCTGGGTTGGCTTCCCCTCTTACGGCAGTGTTTTTAATAATGGAAATTCGAGCGAGTGATATTCTTGGTGCTAGGCGGCTTCGAATTTTATAGTTTTCCCAGGAATGAATATCAAAGTCCTCGACGGCAGAAGCTACCGCGCGATAGATTCGCCAGAGCCGGTGACATACTATAAGAATGTGGAAAGATAAAAGTCCGTGCCTCCCCCCGGGGACACGATACACGGTACATTCGTGGGAGCCCAGCTTCCGATTTGTTTTTTCTTCCTATCATGGGTGAAACAGCTTCACAGGCGCCGGTATCGACACCCGCGGATCGTTAGGGCTCTAGTTCTCAAGAGTCAATAATCTATACCGATACTGATCAGAATAAGTTAACATATATGTATGTATATGTAGGTATACGTATACAGTGAGCTCCACTTATTGGGAACACATCGGGACCAGGCAATTTCGATCCGAATAGGCGGAGGATCCGATCAACCGGAGCTCAAATCATCGGAGACCACTGATCGGGACTCCCCGAGAGCGATCCGATAAAGCGGAGGATCCCGTCAACCGGTGTTCCCATTAAGCGTAGTTCAGAGTTCACTGTATATGTATCTGACCGAGCATGCCGTTTTCGAATATTCCCGCGCTACAAAGAAATCAGCTGGCGCGAATCGTGGAGAGGGCAGCTACAATCGACAGTTGTCTACCCGCCACTCCAAGAGGGATCCGAAACAAAAAATGAGCGAACCCGATGAAAACCCCCCTTCATTGAGCCCAGAGCCCGTATTCCCGAGAGCTCCGGTCGCGATGAAGACCATTTGTGAGTTTGTGATTTGTGGTTCACCGTCTGAACTTGTGCCGAGCAACGGAAAAAAGCATCGGCGTTCTTTTGGAGATTATATATTTTTCGAGTCAGCTCATGAGTATTCCGGGGAATCGTCTTCCAGATGAAACCAGCTCGTTCAATTCATCGCTCTCCTCGGTCAGGAGTCCGAGCTTGGACATCTCTCACTCGTCGAAAATGAGACTGGTGAGTTCTCAGGATGCATCTCTTAAGCTTGAATAAGTTAATGATTCCCTCTGTAAACGACTCGAATTGCGACGCCCAGCTAAGTCAGAAATGCTCCTTCCGAAGTGAAGGAGGCCTCCTCGGAGCATTAGCCCCACAACGACACTTCTATGGTTGACCGCGGTACCCAGACTTAGCCGTCCCCCCGGACATGTTCGAGCGCGTTCGACAATGAAAGCGCTGCGTCTGGAGCTGACAATGACTTCGGGTAGCCTGTTTCTTTTCCCTTCGGTCCCCCTTCAAAGAATATCAGCCTGGAGGAGATCCTTACTGGGTCCCCAGCGCCGTGATCGAGCGTCCGTAAATCATGAGAGAGAAAACCGAGGACACTCACACTGTGGTGTGGTCGGAGTCTAGCTTAGCCGTGATCATTCACTACCAGGTGCCGAGCATCGAGGATTTCGTCATAGTGAAGAACATCAGCTCTGGCGCATTCGGAAAAGTTGTCCTGGCACGACATCGGATTAAGAGCGATCAGATATACGCTGTGAAAGTAATGGAGAAGTTTCACATGCTGAACAAGAATATGGCTGAAAGAGGTGAGTTAGAGCATGAGTAGCGAAACTCATCCAAATAGAGCCCTGGGCTTGAACTAAGCCGTCGTAGCCGGGCGTGAGAATGAAATTTATGGAGCAAGGAAGTTGTATTTTGCAGTTAACAACGAGAAGAATGCTCTCGCAATCAGCCATTCGGATTTCGTGGTGAAAATATTTTACTCCCTGCAAAGTCGGAGCAGGATTTACCTTGTAAGTTTTTCGGAGGAATGTCTTTTCCCGGCCACTGCGGAGGAAACCCTAGCCAGCGGACCGGACTTTTGAAGCCCATAGGCCGTAAGACGTTGAATACATCGCCTGATCCTGTCGAATTCTCCCGTCTTCATCGCAGGTGATGGAATACATGATTGGTGGAGACCTGAAGAATTTACTTCAGCGAATGATAGCTTTCCCAGAGAGCGTTGCTTGTTTTTATGTCGCGGAGTGCGCCCTGGCGCTCGAGTATCTCCACAGGTAAGTTGACTTAAGAGCTCGATCCTCCTCAGCTCTGCTGAACACGACCCCCGAATCCTTGCGCTCTTTTGTAGGCACGGAATCATTCATCGCGACATCAAGCCCGACAATGTTGTCATTGGACAAGACGGTCACGTGAAGCTGACGGATTTCGGTCTGTGTAATTTCGACCGGGAGAACGTTGAGATCGGCGACATTATCGCGACTCCGATGAACCTGCGAAATCCCAAGACCTTCAGAGGCCGTACACCTGGTCAGCTATTGTCTCTGACGACAGATATCCGGCTGACACCGGAGGTGGGCTCGAGTTCGGATATCAAGTCACGGTCGTTTTACCGTACGTGAAGATGCTGACACGTTTCTCTGCTTCGTTAGGTCAAAATTCCCCAGCAGCCCATGGAGAGCAAGCTCCAGCAACGAGATGGCTCCGTTTCTCAAATGTTGAATTCGGGCCTGAGAAACATTCACATTAGTCCACCGGCTGTGTCCGAGGCGTGTTCACCGAAAGCCGCGATGACGCCTCTGGCGGACATCACAAACTTCAGAGATACTCCGAAAGGTAAGTTCATTCAATCTTCTGTGCATACAATCCTTCCGGCCTCAGGCTCTCCGCGAACCGAGGACCCATCGATTGGCGTCGGGAGCCAGGGCCTCTTCCATCCGTCAGGGGAAAAAATAATTACCGATATATAAATAAATTATGATTGATGGAATCGATTTCTTTAATTGACCTTGCGACTCCGCAGTCGGTCATTCAAGAGGAGCTTTCTCTACAATGCCCCGGAAAGCGCACCGCTCCGCGGGCTATAAGCGGCAGTCCTTGGAATACGCAGGCAAGGAGAACCACGAAGGTGGGCTCCGGAAACGGCCAAGGAAAGAGAATCGACCTAAACGTCTATCGTTCAAGCTCGCTGAGGAAAGTTCTCCGGCAGCGCAGACCAGAGAAGACGAGGACGACGAAGACCTTGGGAGAGACGACCTCCCTATGGCGTGAGTATGGTTTCTCGGCTTCCGGCGAAAGTGTAGACAGTCGATAAACTGATGTATTCTTGAGCAGAGATAGATCTCCTTATATCGACAGATGCATGTTCAACTTATCGGTCGGAGAGAGCGCAGCGTTGAGTCCGCCTCGAGCCAGTACCCCACAGCCCGGCTACGTCGTCGAAAAGGAAACGTGTATGCCGGACTTCGAATTGAAAGCATCAGAATGCGCATCGATGTCAAGTTGGTAAGTTGGATTCGGCGGTCTTCACTTCGTAAACCATTCATCGGCGATCACCATTCGAAATGAATTTTTGGTAAATCTTTCCGCTCTTGATTTTGTTGACCCGTGAATGATAACGTCTCCATCTCGGCAGTGAAAGCCTCAGCGCCATGGTACGGGAACGTCACGCTCCTCTGGACAAACTCAAAGAATTGAAACAGGCTCGGCGGATGAGCGTTGTGAGCATCCCGCCAAGAATCGACGAGCACAGTGTGAGCATGTCGAGTGCCTTCACACCGCAACCTCGGGATAGGGCGCGCCTCGCATCGAAAGCTTTAACCGAATATCTTCCGAGGAAGAGGAAGAATCTTACTCGTAACGTTGGTGAGCATCTGACCCTTTCCAATACTCTGGTCCACGCTATCCGTATCATTGAAGGCTCCCACTGACTAAATAAGAGCTATGGAGGCTCAAGTAGGCACTCGGACCTGAATCAGAATGTCCCTATTGTCCTTTTCTCCATTCGGCAAAGAGACTCGCAGCTTCCCTCGACAGCTTGCGATGTGAGAGCTGCTGACTGGAATCTTAATTTTCTGAATATTATATCGCAGGTCAGAGCGGAATTCTCGGCACACCCGACTATCTGGCTCCGGAAATTCTGCGGAGAAAAAACCACACAACTGCAGTGGACATATGGTCGCTGGGAGTTTGTCTCTATGAGTTCCTAATCGGCTGTCCACCGTTCATCGATGAAACGGTGGAACAGGTTTTCAGTAACATTCTATCAAGGGGTGAGTCGCGTGGACTGATTTCCGTCAAATCCCTATTTTTAGAGGGATGGAGCTCGGGCTCAACCTGCGCATAACTTGCAGCGATCGACTATCCTGAAGGAGAAGAAGCATTGAGTGATGCTGCGGTTGCTACAATCGAAAGCCTCCTCGAAACAGACGTCAGTCTCAGACCTTCGGCGGTGAGTCTTCGGGAGCTGCCTCTGTTCAAGGATATTGACTTCTCAAGAATACATCAGCAAAGAGCTCCCTGGATTCCTTCGACTTCGAGCGACATCGACACCGCTTGTTTCGAAGGTGAGGGATTAGGGACATCAAGCAGTCGATCCCCGGAATTCTCATCCTCTGATATTTTCCATATTCTCTCGAAACTCACACAGCAACGAGGTCCGAACGAAGCTGATCGCGATATCCTTGAGCTTCGGATTAAACTCTTCGTTGAGGCCGATCCCCCCGATAGGCACGAAATATGTCGTCTACGTGAGCGCAAAACTGATAAATATTGTTCCGTGTTACAGGTAGTCGGGCGCGATTCGACGTCGCACTTTCTTCACTGTGAGGGATCTCTGTTGCCCTCGTGTAGGGATGGTACCTATATTTAAATATTCTTGCGAAGTTCCTCAAAGCAAATGATCCGACTTGAAGAGGAATGCAGTATGTAGGTCAGTATTGGACGTTCGGAACCGAAGGCGCGGACTATTCGATCAGTCAGCTCGGTCGGAGTACTTGTGTATTGAACAGCAGCGAACGATTGGAGCACTTGGTTTCCCCGTCGAGAGATGTCGATAAAGCACTTCATTGTTCAACCCCGTGGTTCTTAACCAATAAAGTCATTTTGGGTATCAAATTATGCTGCTGGAATCATTTTATATGAGTGGAACGATCGGTCGGACGGAACGAAAACAAGCGTTTCCCCACGAGAGGAAAGAATATTCGAAGTTTTCCCGCGCCCTCGAAACCGAGTCGAGGAAGTCCCGAGGACAATATGAGATGGCTCGAGCGGTTCGCGCTCCCCGATCAAAGCAAAGCTCGAGAAGTCGATCAGCCAAGCAACGCGCTGCTGAGAACTCACTGAGCGAATTCGCGCGGTCTCTTTCTACCGGAAGCCCAGAGCAAACGACATGGTATCGGCAGCTGTCGGCGGCCATGTTGTGAAAATCGCAGGTCGGGTTCCGCCGGAAATCGAGAACGTTTACTGACTTAGAATAGCCGACGATAAGAGTCAACTTGCCGGCAACACGTCAGGTGGGTTATCGAGGTGATGAAGAAACCTTACGGCGGGGATTCCGGAGCCCGGACCCTGAAACTTCGAGCTATAATTTCGAATTTCGAGCTTCCACTGGTATCGAAACAGGATGTGGCTTCCTGTGCAGGGATGAACTCTACCCTAAAGGAAGACAATAAGCAGTGCGCAGAAAGCTTCGACTTTCGACACAGATGCGTCGAACTGAACGACGAAGCGCAGCGTTCCTTTGCTCCACTCTCGAGATGGCTTCGGAGACGAGTGTCGCTCTCCGTCTCATGGGACCGACCGAACCACGTTTTTAATCACCAAACAGATTCAAGGAGCTGAAATCAGGAATTCGGTTGAATCAATACACAATTATTGTCCGATATTTTTTTGGGTTCAATTTCGATGGCTTCTCGAAGCGAAAGGCTTTCACTCCGGGAGCCAGTTGTGATCTCAGACAGAATGGATAAGTGGGAGCGAGAGTTAATTCGGTCGCTAAATATTATCGTGACCGGTTCGAGAATCGACATGTGAGCGATCGATTCCCTTCGACTGCCATTAATCCTAGGCCACGACGGGGAGTTGCGCGATCGTTGTTCCTCTTCTAAAATTCAGGCTTGCGTCATGTCGTTCTGCTCGGCGCATGGTCTATTCAGGATGTCAAGTAGTCGGCTCAGAAGGACAGAACTACGATGAGGGTAGCACTTCGTACGACTCTTTCACTAGACTCCGACTGAGCGAGCGTTCAGTGACGCTTCGCGAAGTATTGGTCCATGTTACTCCGAGTCACAAACGCGCGAGAATTCTGTCGAATCCGGATGAAGCGCGTGGGCCCAGGCGAGTGCGAATCCTGAAGGCTCAATATCTGCTGACTTTCCTTTCAGGATGGACGAAACCCTGTATCCCATAACAGATATGGTGATTTCGCCGGAATCGATCCTGCCGGGCGACAATGAACTCACAGAACTGTCGGAGGGGATAACCACAGCAGTAGTAGCCCAGCACATGGAGATCTCCGAACCGCTCATTGTTCTGAAGGGCCTGTTAGAGACTCGTCTGGGACTCAATTTAAGAGATTTCAAATTCTTTCTACAAGACACCCAGGAATTGGATCCGCAGAGAAATCTCGTCGATCAATGCGTTCAGGGTGAAGGTCTCGTCCAAGTCAACGTGGAGATAAGCTATAAGAATCGCAGCAAAAAAATCAATATCGTGGACGTTTTGAAGCCGTCGGACGAAACCCTGGCAGAGCTGGAGGCCGAGGCGGCTCCGAAGAAGAAAAAAGAGAAGGACGAGCAGGTCACCAAATGGGTGCAGTCACCGGAGTTCAAATTCATCATGGACCGCGAGGACATACCCTCAAATCCACAATTGTGGCAATACACACACACTCAGCGCTGGTTCAAATGGGCAGCGAAACACTTCAAACTACCGGCAATGTCAGTCAACCACGACCTGTGGCTAATTTCTGGCAAGCAGCTCGGCCAGTTGACGCACGAACAGTTCCTCGAAAAAGTTCCCTATGACCCTTCGGACCTGATGTGGACGCATCTTGAGCTTCTGAGAAAGTGCAAAATCGTCGCCATCGTCCAGAACACTACCGAAACATCCCCGGAGAGCCCTGCGAGCAACAAGAAGAAGATCGGTCAGTTCAGAGGAAAGAGCATACGTAAGCTTTGATTATTGACGTAGTTCGTCTCAGTCCGCCTGGCGGGGAGGGGGGATTCGGCCTCTGAACCCCGGCCCTGAGCGACTCCTCCGTTTCCCCGGAAGTCGTTCGGAAGGAACACTGCTTCCAGGAAATTTACCTCTCACGCTTGAAACTTCTCTCCTCTTCCAGCACGGAAAGGCTCGAACCTCCCGTTGATGCCAGCGAATCGGCAATCCCTCGAGTTGCTCAACAATCGTACCGGAAACAACGGACAAGTTCAGCTTTGGCAATTCCTCCTCGAGATGCTGACCGATAAGGACGCGCGAGACTACATAGCTTGGTCGGGGAACGACGGCGAATTCAAGCTCTTGAATCCCGAAATGGTGGCTCAGATGTGGGGTCTGAGGAAAAACAAGCCCAACATGAACTACGAGAAACTTTCTCGAGCTTTACGGTATTACTATGACGGAGACATGATCACCAAAGTGCAGGGAAAGCGATTTGTGTATAAATATGATGTAGATCTCAAACAGCTGATCGGATACGACGCCTGTGAACTCAATCGGCTCGTGATGGAGGCCGAGCAAAAGAAGATCTCGAAAGAGCTCCGCGCGGCTTCATCGAATTTATTGATCTGAGTTCCCGAAAGATATTTGACCATGAAGTGTGCAAGAGCTGCTATTGACTTGGAATATATTTTTCGTATCTGTTAGGAATAAAGGTAAATACTGTACATTAGATGAGTCACGTTATCATTTTCAGAGGTGACGCTCGATAATACTAACTGAGCGTGACCTCATTCTACTAGGATGTCCCATCATCTCTGTAAAGGTATTGATTCCGCAATCAATTCACGGAAAATGCACCCGATTCCCATTGCCTCCCTCTTGCGGATAGTCCGTGGACTTAATTCGATCAGTCACCGAGTCGTTCACGAATTATTCTACTAGAGCCACTTCCAGCTCATCGAATCCTGTGGATGGAATCGGTCGAGGTGGAATGACATCTTACCTCGGTATTCCGTTCGTCACCCGAAAACGTGATGGGAGCAATGGTTCAGCGGGCGAAGTTGGCGAAGATCACACGAGAGCCTCGGGTGTGGAAGAAAAATCGTTTGCTGGAGTCTCCACCGCTCTAAATTTTCATGCCACTCGGGGGATCGAATATCCGGGAAAGCCTCACCTAGAGCTAGTCATTGACTATCAGGCTCATGTCGTCAATACTCAAACCAGCTGACACAAATCCCTCACAAAGCTTTGACAAGGTGTCGAGGCCATCCTAAACAATTGCGGTGAGTTTTCGTGAGCCTATCCCTCAAATTCCGAAGTTCTCCGCTCCGCCGTCTTAGCCTCAGATTCGAGACATGGCTGAGGTGTCGAGTGTCGATCGAAGGATGCCATCGGTGATTGACCGTGTTATACCCGTAACCAAGAAGATCACTCCGTGACGTCAGACAAGACCTATCCGAGTATTCTCTGCGACAGGAAGAGTGTAGATACCTTGAGGGTCCTAGGGAGCGAAAGGAGACCCATCGACGAGTTTTCAAAAGCAAATGATCGTATTTTCGGCCCTTTACCATCGCCGGTTAATCAGGTAAAGAAATCTCTCATAAGTGCCGCATAGTCATTCAATTGAGAGTCAGCAAAAATTAGGCTCAGAAAACAGAAATCGGAATCAAGCATTTGGTTCGTAGTGCTGGACCCCCTTGAGATCCGGAACCTGACTCTATGCTCTTGCGGCGACATGTTCAGCTGGAGTGGGGAGTACGGGCTCGAGAAATGCGGCACTGTATCTAGTCGAAGCCCAAGCCGTTCCGAGTCGGTCTCGTTCGGACGCAATCCAGAACCCTCTAGCGCAAGTCTAACGATCCTGCCGAACCTCAACGGTTCCTCGTATTCAGTGATTCCCACTCGATCAGTAAACATGATACGGCGATAAAATTGCAACGGACTCCACGCTAAGGGATCCGAAGTGACCGAAGACTCATCAGAAGCGAGAAACAGAAAGTAGTGTGAAATCAATGGACACCGGCTAATCGAAGCAGGTGGATCCGGATCGATGAGCTTGACTCGAGTTACTTGGGTGTGAATTTCTCCATGCTGTGACGATGATATCCGAGGGATCGATTTCCGCTATCGGTGGTGCAAAATGATGCGAGAAGCCTTTGGAGGATTCGTTAGCACCTGACGGATGATTGAACGGAGCTCTCCCTCTCTGAGTGAGAAGCTCACCTCATCAGCTGTCAATCAGGCGTCACTCGAAGCGACAGCGCAATCAACACTATCGCGACGTGGAGTCGTTTTGGTAATGGTTGTTGTCCACCTCGTTTGTCTTACGTTTGCGACCGAGACTATTTCGGTTCGTTAAAGATCGCCTTAATTTGTCTGGAGTTTAACACGTCGAAAACAAATCGTAGGCGTTCGCGATTCTTTCGCGAAAAGGCAGCGACGACCACGATGAGAGTCGCCATCGGAACAGGTAGAAATCTTCGAAGCTCTCTCGGTTTCTCTCCGCGGCTTGTCGCCTCTGATGTGCTTTATGATGTCAGCTCGCGTTAGAATGCAGTGTTCGTGCCGCAGCCCGCTGGAGACGCGGGCACGCTCTCAGCTCGCTTCTGGACGCCGTCGCGGTATTTTGAGTCTCTGGTTCGGGATCTCCAGCCTGCAGGACTTCGCCTCCCACGCCAGCTACGTCCCGAAGCGATGAGCTTGCCGGCTAGCCGCCCGGTCGATCGAGGGCCCGGCTTGCCTCAGTGCTTGCCTACTACCGGTCTGTCGATCGGTACGTCCGTCTGCGTCGCCGGTTGGCCTGAGCAGCCAGCCAGCCTGCCGGCCGGCCGGTCTGCCGGCTGGCTGGCCGGCTGGCTGCAAGAAGAGGAAGAAGATGAAATAGAAGGAGGAAGCCACTAGTAGTAGAGGGCTATTTCTAACCGCTAAGCTGGCCCGGTGGAAATGCTTCCTCGTCCACTAGCCACCCTTCTTCCAGCGCAGCGTTCTCATTCGACTGCAAGTGGATGAAGCCAGTCCAGCTGTGATCTGTATGAGTTTCATTGGCTTCACCTCCGAGTTCAACGGTGGCAGGTGAAATCAAGTGTATCCGGTGCTCGCTCGGATTTGTGCTGAAACGCTTCACCGACGGATGACAAAGAAATGTCTCAGTTCGATTTGAGCCAACCGTAACCGACGGTTTCCGTGTTACCTTAGGTGAGTACCTGCGGAACTCCCGCCAGTTCACCCGTTCGCTCGTTGCTTCGACGACACCCTTTTTCGCGTGAACGACGACCCTTTGTCTTATAGGAATATAATTGATTCAGAGCGCGGCTTTAATTGTTGTCGAACACGAAAGACCGAAGGGGCAACTCTTCGGCGCCGGGGAGACTTGTCACACGACGATTGCGCTCATGGCGATAATGCCGAGGCGACGCAACGCCTCGGGAGCCCTCGCGGCTCGGATTCCCGCGAGCTGTATCGGAAGCTCATGGGGTGGCTCCTTGGATTCGTTGCTGATAGTCAGGAGACAGCAGCAGGTTCTCCACTCGCGTCGTCGTGCTTCATTCGAGCTGGAAATCGCTGTCAGTCATAGCATATAGGCTCTCTGCGTCAAAGAGCATGATGCATGACGGCAGCATTGGGCAAAACATCTTTCCAGAGGGTGGCTCTGTAGCGAGAAAAGGCGATGATAGCTTGACACAAAAATCACTCTCGTGGAGAATAAGTGACTGATGAACAACAGTGGTGAATACCACGCGTGCGGTGCGGAAAACGTTCCATTTTGGACGATTCGACCGAGACCATATTTCAAGACCTGCTTTTCGTCTGAACAGAAATCGATGTTGCTCGCTGAAAGTGTATTCGCGACACTGTCGTGATTGAGATCGAGTCGACAGCATTCAGAGGTATGAGGTTGTTCCCGACCTAAACTCGTGAGATTTCCGCCCATAAAGAATTAATTGGGTGTTTTTCCGCTGTCAAATATGGCGCCGCAGGATGCCACAGTTTTTTTCCGTGCGAACATTTCTAGATGGACGGTGGGCACTGCTCCCTGGATTTTTCCTGAAGCGCGACGCAGATGAGAGAGCGCGGATTGACCGAGATCCGCAGCTCGTACGGAGCTCCCGGGAGTCGAAATTCCTTCCCAGACCTTAGGCTTCGATGCCGTCATTGATCTGGTAAGGTCCTCCACGCGCTCGCTGTCGGTATGACTTTCTCCGACGACTGTGACAGGGACTGTTCGTCCACCCTGCACTGCGATGGGGAACGACTCAGTCGTTTCAATTGTTACTTCCGAGTTCGAAGAGACAATTTCGATTGAGATACGCATACGGTGCCCGACTCGACAAATGACGACCCTATCATGGGCCGCGGCCCACCGTGGCTGGTGAGAATTATCAATAGCAACAGCCGTAGCGGCGGGTTTAGCAACAACGTGGTCGTCAACGTTCCGAAAGCAGGACATACTAGGCGGCCTTCTCAGGTGTCGAACATCTGAGAGCGACTCACAATAGAGTAACTCCTCAGACGCCCTACCGCAGCAAGAGCTCACCATTTCGCGAGTTTGTGAGCTGCTTGTTCTCCATAAACAAACAACAAACGCATCTCGCTGCAATAGACAGCGATTCATTCGAGCGCAACGGGACGCAAGTCGGCGAGAGTCGAGACCGCCAGCTCTTCGAGCCCAGCTGTACGCATATTCTGGGAAACAAGGGAATCCTTTACGGTGTGCCGGCATTTAACTGAAATCGAAGAATTATCGCCCTTTCAAAGGCGTATAAAAAACCGATGTTTACGTAATGCTCAGTGCCGGCTCGGAACATGAAGAGGGACTGGTGAACATAAAAAGACTTCCCCGCAGCGCATCCGATAGTCTCGATGTGGGGAGAAGCTTTCTCAAATGCCCAGAGAGCTCAAATCATTTGAATAAGAGCTCGTGCAAGCTTGCGGGAAAATACTCGACGGTAATCAGAACATTGCTTCTGGAAACTTTCCATGAGGACGTACCCACTGGACGGGAAGGAAGTTCACTATGAGCAGTATTGCCGATACCGTGAGCGCTCGCCGGAGAGTGGGGTGGCTCCTCAGATACGATCACCAATCACAATGCTTCTCGTTGATTCCACGGCGGCGAGCGCTTCTCTTTTCGGTAAATGGCGAGATGATGAACCCTAAGCGTCGGAACACCTTGACTATAAGTCGCCTGGGTGATTAATGTAGACCGGAGATCCGATATGATCTAGCCTCGTTTGTTGTCTGAGGTCTTCATAGTGGAAGAGCTTTTTTGGCACCTGCGCGTTACCGAGCCGAATGAAAATACCCTCAAAGTCTCTGTATGTGACAGCCTGGGTGCTTGATCTTGCCAAACCCGCGGTATGCGAAGACCCGACGATTTTGGTTCGGAAAACAAAAAAAAACTCATACATAGTCATGGCGCAATGAACAACTGGTCATACTACACGTGGACCGGGGCCCTTTACCACTCACTCTCTCCCTCCCTCACTGACCCTCTCACGCTATAGAGTTCTGACTGAGGGAACTCATGCACGGGCGCTCACAGCGCCGGCCGGTGTACGCTCTAGTCGACAGACGATACTCGAAAACTCGCATCGTTCATCTCGCATTCGGAAGGAGTGGCGACGGTATAATCTTCTGACTCACCCAGGATGTTATCGACCATTCGCCAGCATGTTGCGAATTCTTATTTTGTCGAAAGAAAGAAAGACACCAACCACTACAAGTGGTCACTCACAGAGCCGATGATGATCGCTGAGGCATTTTCGAAGCAGCAGCGACCGCAGCTGCCGGACCGCGCTCGTTTTAAATGTCATGGCTCAAGAATTAGTGACAAGCGGCGGCTATGATCGGAAGGCATCGCAACATCTGAATTTCTTTGCACAGAGACCTTTGTGCTGTTTCGCTCTGTCTGTCGACATGAGTCTTTTGAATCTTTCGCCTGCGACGACTCCATCCTGCATTCCTCATCGCGATGGATACCGAAAGAATAGAATTATCTAATCGATTTCGACATCCCTCCTATCGCGAGGAGTCCGCGTCTCCCCGACAGTTCGGGTTCAGGAATCCATCCCTTCCATATTCGAACGCGGCTCAGCGAGTATCTTCTTCCTTTCCGTTTCCCCCAGCTCTCTTCGCCGAGTCGGTGTAAGAGTGAGTGTGTCAAGGTGTGGTCACTGATCTCAATGAGCGTCCTTTCAATCTGAAGACAAACTCCGCAGAAAGAGATCAGTCTTTGCAAGCGATACATGCTTTGAGTGGGATCTCTTCTCGGTTTGAGTCTCGGCTTCATTTTCGCTGAACGTTTCGTTGCTGTTTGAGCGACAGGTGAAGGGTCCCTTAGGCTCTTTCCGAATGAGTCACACGAGAATCGACTGATTGCAGGAAAACACCCCGCGTTATCGACGATGGGGGCGAAGACGAATGCAAGAGATGAGCTGCCTGCTGCCTACGCATGGTCTTTTCTTTAAACCAGGATTTGACTCGGGTGATATTCGAGGGCTCGGTTTCCCTCCGGTACTTCCTTTCCCTGGCGGAGTGTGTTCCGAGGCGTCCCCGATCAATATGAAGCCTTAGATCCTCAAATTCCGCTGAGGCTCACTCGGTTGCCATGGTTCGCTCGCGATACCCTGCGATCCTTTAATGGATACAGATGCGTTCTCGAGGGATTAAACCATTCCGTCAAAATATGTCCAGAAGCAGTATCGTCCCGAGAGGGGACAGGAGGGGGGAAGCCTGCGTGGGGCATCAAGCTTCTGAAGACTGGCTCGGAGAAGAGCTCCAACTCCCAACTCGACGGGAAGTTTTGAGTTACTAACTCAGGTTTGATTTGGAAGTCCTTCTCATCGTCGATAAGACACGAATAAGTCCGAAAGATGTAGGGAAAATCCGAGGGGCATCGAGTGGAGATTTTGGCTGGAACAGAGGCGATCCTTCCCGGAGGTGTTATTTCACCGAATTCAGCCAAGAGAAAACGTAAAGAGTTCGAGCTCCTCAAGACAGTCGTATCCCTCATTGTTTTTGAATGATCCGACGATTTTTCGACGCATACGAGAAGACCTTGTCGAGTAGGGACCCGAGATGAGCCCCGCCGAGCGACCGTGTAGAGCGAAGCTCGTGCGACAGGGGAATCCATGCTCGATCTCTCCGGAGACCCAGCGCAGGGGCAAGGCTCCGGGCTGGGTGGTCAGTGGCACTGTGGCATTTAGCCGGTGCACTAAGGGTCTGTCTAGCCAGCCAAGCTGTTTGCTCGATCGCGGTGAGTCGACCGACCAGCCAGCCGGGGATGCCTGGCTTGCACCGACACACAGCGGGCTCTTTGCTTTCCTTGAGGCTTCCTGATGCGGCTGCCATGCCAGTGGTTCGAGTCTCTCTGTAGAAGTGTCGTGCTGCTTCGTTCCGAATCCGACCAGCGATGAGCTGCACTGCTGCGCTGCGTACGTCGTAGTCGTGCTGACGACGGAGCTCTCGACACCCGCGTTGGGAAGCTCTGCTGACTTACCGCGGATCGATGTGTCCACTGTTGTCACGCCTGCGAGTCTCGACGAAGACAATACCCTGAGGAGTCTCTCGTCCGGAAGCACCGAATTTTCGCTCCCATCCTGTTGGAATGAGGTGTACCAGGGTCATCATCCTCACGCTGATGACACTGACGTAGAGAGCGATTGGGATTTCGACGACCGCCAACCGTTTCAGGTCAGTCATTTTTGTTTCCGGGCTCCCCTGTTCTCTTCCTGTCTACATACATGTGTCGACTCAAGAATGTTGATCATCGTGATGTCCGTGATCTTCACGGGTAGCTCGACGTTTAGACGAAACGCGCCGATCCCGAGCGTTTTCTAGGAAAATCGCTCCAGGACTTGATATTTGCCGCGCGGTCGATAAGTATGATCGGAGCTTTTTAGTCGTTAGGAGGTTTTTCCACGCTCGTTCAGGAGAGCCCTCCGAGCACAGCGAAATTCCACGTTCAGACACCGTGAATTCAACTAATAATTATTTCATCCAGAGTGGATCCCGACTAGGATCCGACCGCTCAATCTAAGATTGGCGATTCGGAGCAGCATTTTACCGAATTACTAGCGTTCCCCGACTCTCTACACATGCGCTGGCTCCGGGTGCGCTTGCTTCGGGCGCGCGTGCTGTGGGTGCGCGTCCCGATTCCCCGCTTTCCCGTTTCCCCGCTTTCCCGTTTCCCCGCTTTCCCGTTTCCCCGCTTTCCCGTTTCCCCGCTTTCCCGTTTCCCCGCTTTCCCGCTTTCCCGCTTTCCCGCTTT